GACAGTGCATCTCTCGACTGTGAATCTTGACAAACTGCAGCTCGAGCTCCAGTTCGACTTCGCGGATCAGCAGCGAGAAGAAGACACAGACGGCATCGTCCAGTACCCGTTAGGCACGCTGCATGCCGCCATGACGAATGGAAATGGCATCCCGCGAAAACGCTGATTTCATCGTTCACGGAGCTGGATTTCTGTTCAGTGGCGTTGATGGAGGACGGAAATTGTCGTCGCGAACTGCTTCCCTACGACCACGTTCGCGATCCCGTGGGAAATCCACCCCAGCGCGTATCCCTAACATCGGACGAACGGTCGTTCGTTTTCCCAATCGACGATCAGGCGCGGCGGAGTGTTATCGTTGTCTGGTTTTTCTTCCAGGTTGAAAACGTGGCCGTGGGGTACCACACCGTCTAACTCTACATCTATTGCGTTCCATGCGTACACCGATCCTCCATGTTCTTCGTACAGGCCCTGAAAGCAGTTATCGGTCTAGAACAGCCCGGCCTTTCATCCTTGCAATTGATACGGCTTTTAATCTTTAAAGTTTTGATGCTTAGGTTAGTTAAAGTTTTGCATGTTATTAACGCAAGGTTTCGGTTGTTTCATGGCAGTAGTCTTGCGGGCGAAACGAAGAAATTACGGAGTGGCTATTTTGCCCCAGTGTGTGGGGGGAAAATAACTACTGGGCTATTTTGCCCCAGTGGGGCCCGTCTAATAGCTAGTTGGCTATTTAGCCCCATACTGGGGTTTCATAGTCCTTGGCTATTTAGCCCAATTGTGGGCGCCAGGGTAGCCTTCTGGCTATTTAGCCCCATAACACTTTTCGAAGGTAACGGAAAAAATGTTATAGGTTGGTACATTGCCGTGGCCGATCCTGGATTATTTCGGTACTAGCTGACCCCGCGCGAATTGCGCGGAATAATTACTATGCGATGGACAAATCATAACGTAGTGCAAAAACTAAATTAAATTAAATTAAATTAGGGACTGCTGCATGCAGTTACCATATAGGTTTCATGGACGAAACGTTATATTCGACAATATACCAAAGTCCACAGATCTGATAATAAGCAGGTTGCGGTATCAACGAAGGGGTACGATTGACGATAGAATTAACGACGGGGTACGATTAACGAACGTTTAAACGGCATTACCCGTCGTTATTAACGAAACGAAGGGGGTATCGTTACGTTAATAACGACGTTGAAATTCAGTAATGAACGACTGGGCTTGCATAGACCATTGAGCACGAAGACTGCATAGGCGAGACAGTCTACCCAGTGAATTTTTGCCTGGGCATTCAGTCCTGAGTTGCCCACTCGACTCGAATTATTCGAAAATCGTACCAGTCTCGACAGTTGCTCTGTTGTCAGTTAGCTTTTTGCCAGCTACTTTGAAAGCAGAATAATTTACGCTTTCATAAATGTGACAAAAAATTATTTCAAAAATCAAAACACAGTTGCACAAATACTTGTTTCAGGAGCTTATGTTCTACAGCAACTTTGTAACCATCTTTCAAGTGCAACTGCAAGTCACGCATTCTAGAATGGAAAACGACAGTTCTATAGAACGTCTGCGCGAAAACTTTATCCTCATTTCTTTCTAACGTGTGTATACCATATAAAAAAGATCTACTTTGTTATTAATTTTTATGCTGGTAAACGAAATTATTTTGAAATTGTACAAAATATTGGACGGAGAATGTTTGATACCTACAGTAGTTCCTCACGTTAATATCAGGAGCAGTAAATTTTTTAGTTCATAACGCAACCTCCTATTCGAATCAACGGAACGTTAAATTAACAACGCCAAGATCGTCGTTAATTTGGCCGTTATTCGTACGGCCGTGCAAAACGCAACCTACTTAATGTCTACTCGAAAACTTGTCTGTCGCTTTAATTGACTGCAAGGAGGACCTTAAACCTGAAATGCAAAATTTTGTGCCCAAAGCGGAGAAAATTTTGCATTAGTTTCCCATCTACTAATTAACATCCAGATCAGTTATCCAATCATTGAGAGTTAGGGACCGCATAGGAACTCAGAAATTTAGTAGAAGTCGCTCTCTTTTGCCTTTTTTTCATTCTGCGCGTTTTCAAGCTGTAGAGTAAGAAGAACAGAAGCCTTCCTTTTTTATCATTCTGCGCTTTTTCAAGGTTGAGGGTCGCTACTATCCGATAACAGTTTACCTGTACTTGGAACCCAGTTTGAGAATTACCTCAACTGGTGCCCTTTGTATCCCATTTTAACAATCGGACAGAGTAATTGCTCTATTTGCTATCGCTGCTCGTTTTTTACTATTGCTCTGACCAAAGAACACATCCACACAGCGTATATTAAAATGAACAGAAGCATTTCGTTATGTTTTCTTCCTCGCTTTTAACTCATTTTCGAAAGCGGGAACTGTTACGCGAAATTCTTACATACTTGATGCTCCGCGAGCGCCGCAGCTCGGCGTCGCCTGTGGCTCCGCCTTCCAGTATGCTATATAACGAACTGGAAAATTCATTTGCCTTCTTTATTAACAACGCAGCGTTCCACCTTAAACAGAAGTACAATTCGCGCCGCGCCCAAGGCTCCAGTTACACCCCCGGTTCCCACACGTTTTTAAACCGAACATGATTTAGCTTGTACAGAAAGCAGGATTTGCGTAAACATGTACCACACGTTCTTTAATGATTAATCCAAGCGCTACATAACATGCAAAGCAAGCAGTTTGCTTTTCCTCGAAACAAATCCCCCGAAGTTGCCCGGTCTGCCTTTCTCGAACACCACCTTGCCTTATTTATTAAAAACGAACACGTATAGCACAAATTTGCCTTAGACCGCAGGCAGTTCTGGAAGAAAGGCAATCACGCCCGCCCGGGAGCGGCGGAAGGCACTTTACAGTATGGTTAAGCGAAAACTAAGAAAACTAAGTAAATGACACCCCACTTGCCTTCTGGTCGTCGGGAACATCCACCTCGCAGTAATCATGGTTCATGGGGACAAATGACGACAAGTGCGACGCGCCGACCACATACAGCGCCGTCAAGCGGATTCCGTGGTCAGTCAGGGCCACGTAGTGAATAATATCCAGCACCACGGAGAAGTTTATCCTGTCGATGCATAGGTCGCCATCGTGCAGAATAATGTGTTTGATGGACGAGCGCAGGCATTTGGGTGCCATGAGATTATATTGCAGATTATTCAAAGGGCCGCGTGCAGCGCTCGTGTCGATGACTACGTGGGCCTTAAAAGTAGGCAAGTCCAGAATAGCGTCCCATGCTGAGCACACTGCGCGCAGCTTGGTCTGTGTCATCGTGTCCAAGTAGGCGAACACCTCCAGCCACTCATCCACGCCCAGTGAAAGCAATTCATCCGTCGTCTCGCCGATATCCAAAGATTCGGACGGCGCCTTCATCCCACGCAGGATCTTCAAAACACGACCAACCGGCGCCTTATGCAACGCCCGAACAATTTTCTGTAACAATGAACAACACCAATTCCACAAGACCGGAATAAAACAAACGGACACTAAAACCACAATGAAATGTAGATATCCGACTACAGGGAGACAGTGACGAATAAGCGTACCTGTGCCCTGTCTTCGGCCTGCCGCAGCGGAAAACAAACGTCACCGCGGAAAACAAACGTCATCGGCGATATCGACGCAGACCACCTGCCCTTTGGAAGTCCGCTGTTTATCCTGCAGCACTTGTGCTGGTGAAACCGCACGACACTCAGCGGGAAGCGGCATACTGCGCTTAACAAAGCGCCCCGGTGCAACTGGCAGCAGCTTCGTCACAAACACCATCTCTGATCCCTTATCATCTTCCTTCGACCAGTCGTTTGGCACGGGGTGGCGAAGACGGTCCCTGGAGACAAAGTCCGTCCAGGTGACGCCGCAGTTATCCCGTCCCTGGACGATGGCCACCGTGGCGTAATCTGGCCTCAACGATGAGTGAGCATGTGACGACGGGGATTCAGCATGTTCAGGGGCCACCAGCGCCACGCTCCACAGTCCACTGGGATACTGACGGCGCAGCAAGTCCATGGGGATCGTCTCCCAAGCCTCGTCACTCCATAAGAAATCATATAAATTCGGAAAAACGTCCGGAAATTCCCTGGGCTTAGATCGGAAGACTTGATTAAATGGAAAGAGCTCGCGTCGACGACCTGAGCACAGCAGCCCGATGTAAAGCCCGTTGTTCGAGGAAGGCGCGGTTAAAGGGGATGAGTTCGCGACGACGGTTGGGGCACAGCAGATCGATGTAGAGCCCGTTCTCCGCCACGTCCATTACGCGGCCGTGCAGGAGGACATTGGTCGCCCACTACGTTAATGTAGTTCAAACGTTCCGCAAACATGGCTGACAGCACTGATTTTTGATCGCAGCCTACAAGCAAAGCGAAACAATGCGCTGGAAGGCACTTTACGGTTTACAGTATCCACGCGCAACGATTTTCAGCAAAGAATTTCCATACTCGTACCTGTTTGTGAGGGTGCTACAATGCACAGCAAGGATGGTACAGACTATACTGCAATCTCGATGATTCACAAATCGGAACTAAATATCTGTCAAGGATCCACTGTGAACGTGTGTAAGAGCAAATTAATCAGAAATTAGGAAAGAGAAGCCCAAGTGAATTTCAACTAAAACGCCATATTTTCTACCGCTTGCACGCTGCAGTGACCAAAGCCCACTGTCCCCGGCCGATGTAGTCGCCAAAACCGGTCGGCTCACCTGGTCCAATCCGACGTTCAGCCACTTTTGCAGTCCATTGTACGCCACCTCATTGGCACCCTATCATTTTGGCTTTTTTTCATTCAGCTTTCTTTCTTATTTCGGAATTTAATTATCTCACGGTGAATCTGTGCTAGAGACTCATCATTTTGATTAATTTGCGCACCATCAAGTGTGCTTACTTACGATAACTGAATTACTTTCCTGACTGCCCGCTGTGCCATTCAATAGTTACTCGTACAGAACTTACAGTTCTCTGACTATCAGTTTCTAGCCGTTGTAATGTATCCCTCCGTACTTTCCCTCTACAAGTCTAAGCCGAGCAGTTCTGCAGATCACCAACCTCCTCAAGATTGCCCCACTAACAGTGTGGAGTTCCTGCGTGGAATGCGTGATCTGCAAGCAACGGGCACCTTCTGCGATGTTGTCCTGAAAGGCAGTGACGCGTCTTCGCAGGGGATTCCTTGTCATCGCAGCGTGCTTTGCGTGCAGAGTCCCTATTTTCGCGCTGCCTTCACGCACAACTGGAAAGAATCCTCTGCACCAGTTTTCCGGCTGGCAAACATCGACAACAGCACCTTGAAGGAGTAAGTCTCGTGACAGCGTAGCACAGTGGTAATTCAGCAAACCTACGTTTGCGATCAGTTGTAGCGCTCCGGCGAATGTACAACCTGGCAGTGCTAATCATAAATGTTAAAATCTGCATGTTAACCGAAGAGCTGGAGATTTCACTTTTGCTCTTTCGCTGTTGCATGAATCAGCGTCACTGATAATTGTTTGTGAGTTTATGCAGCTGTGTTGTTATCAGCAATCCTTCAGTGATCAGACTTGGTTCCCTGCAGACTGGTGACGTATGCCTACACGATGCATCTGCGCTTGAGCGATGACACCGTCGTGCCCGTCTTGATAGCGGCGCAGTTCCTGCAGATGACTCCGGTGGCCAGAATGTGCTGGAAGTACGTGAAGCAGCGCCTGTGTCTGTCCAGCTGTCTGGACGTCCACGATCTGGCTTCGCAGCATAACAACCCTCGTCTGGCCAGCGCAGCTCTGCAGTTGATCCATCTGCACTTTCTCAGCTTGGCCCAAAGCCTGGAATTTTTGCGGATGGACGCCCAACAGGTACTCAGTTTACTTCTTTGATAAATGCATTTGAGACATTTCGTGCGCTATATTTGAAAACAGAGTAACTGTACAACTGGAGGCAGGATTTAAAGCTCTAACTTCAGATGAAATTTAGCATTCCAAAATCAAACTGGACTTCGAATACTTTGAAGGTTTCCAAAATAAAAGAATTTGTTTTCTCAGCAATTAGCCTTTTAAAATTATAAATGAAGAAACCATATAAAATGCGGATTCTATCAAATAACTCCCTGTACTATAAAAATTAATAACTGTTTTTAGACCAAAATTTCGTTTTCTTTGGATTTCGACTTCGAATTATTTGATAATTGTTGTTGGAAGTTCAGCCTTACTCAAGACTGTAACTATCTGAAAATAATCAAAATATTTAATGATGACTACACCCTACATACATATCACAATCGCCATGCGCTTAGTGAATTCATTTGCAGTTGACGTCGCTGATCGCATCGAATGCAGTGGAGGTGTTTAGTGAGGACCAAGTGTGGGAGGCGGTGATGCGTTGGTTGGACCACGACCGTGCCGTACGAATGGCGCACATGGCCGCCGTCCTGCAGAATGTCCGCGCTGCATTCCTCAGCGACCAGTATCGGGAGGAATGGCAGTCCGCAATGGCCGCCTATGGACTGGCTCTCGGGGAAGCGCAGAGCACTGCACCACGACATTCATACGGTAAGGACCTTGCAGCCGCTTTAATAACGCTGTACCATTCAAATTCATTGCAAAATACTTCATGAGCCAGTTGTGCCGTGGAATATGTGGGTCTTGTATTCGCATTCCACTTCGTTTTATTGCACTGCTGGTTTCAGATGCGCAGGACGTGATCCTCTGCGTGGGCGGTTGCGAGCATGACAGCGCCGACTTCACAGCTCCCGTTACAAGCTCCGTGTACGCCTTCAGTCCATCGATCCCGGCCGTGTGGCGCCTGAAGGATCTTCCCACTGACGGCGAAGGGTGCCGCAGCGTGTTGCTGGACGCCGCTTCGATTCTCGTTTCCCACCATCACGGCATGCACATCATCCGGCGGGGCAGCCGCTACGTGAGCCTCCGTGACGAGTGGCGCGTGGTGGAACCGACGCCGCGCCGGGGGGCGACGCTTGCCTCGCTTAATGGTAGCATTTTTACGTCGCCGGTTGCTATGATGACGGCCCACTGACGTCTTTGGAAGTCTTCCATCCGCAAAGCAATACCTGGAGCGATGCTGCTCCGCTGCCCATTGGCCTGTACGGCTTTGCCATGGTGGCATGTGACGGTCGACTGTTTGTGTTCGGCGGAGAAGGCGACGACAATTCTTGGCAATGTGTCTTTTCCTACGATCCTGATTCAGATAAATGGACCCCGCTGGATAACATGCCGCTCGGACGCGCATACTTTACTGCCTGCGTGGGTCCAGGCGGGTTGATTTTCGTTTTCGGTATGCGTGTTATCATTTACAAAAGACAGCATGGCATGGTGAAAATCGTTCAGTTTTCGAGGTAGTTCTTCTGATGTACCGTGTAGGTGGAGAAGAGGATGCGAAGGAGCTTGTGCGCGTGGAGGCGTATGACCCTGCCACCGGCCACTGGGTTAGAAAAGGTGGGTGCTAGTTCGTTCTTCGTTGCAGTTTAGATTCTGTATTAAACGGCGCTTTCGAAAATTATCCGTTGTTATGTATAAATAGTAAACAACTTTTCCTTACGAAATTCATTTCAACTCGTAAATAGTACGGAATACGGATCGCTAACATATGTTCATATAAAAATTGAACTGAAATTTGTAAACTCGAGTGGGGAAGCATAACTTACGCGATCGGCCTTAACTCAAGTAGCGCGTCCTAATGGACTGTGACAAAATTTATGAAATCATGTACGCAAAGTGACCGAAGTAAGGGAAACCTCGATCGTATTGGCATTATCGTTATGTGATTGCAGCGGATCTGGTCAGGGAGCGCATTAGCCCCGGATGCGCTTACCTGGATGGGAAGTTGTACGCCATTGGAAGTGATCGATGGCCGGAAAATGGTTATTCCACCATTGAGGTCTACGATCACGAGACGGACAGCTGGACGCTGCTTCTACAGAATTGCCGACTCCCGGACTTCTCCTTTGATTGCGTGGTCATGAAGATGAAAATGAAATACCGCTGAGTCGTGCTCCGGGATGCAACTAACGAAAGCGTGGCGTTTAATTTATTCTCATGTTGCATTTCGGTTTGTTCGCTTTCTTTGGAGAGTTTTCAGATCCCCTTTCTGTCGTTTCTGATGCCTTTTTTTACCTTTATTCTTATTTTGTGAGCTTACTGTCGGATTTTCGATGTGAACGACGAATTCGTATTAGTTTTCTTCGGGATGATCTCCTGTAGACAGGAATCGTTTTCTTACGACATGCTTTATGGTTTAAAATTACGGTACGTTTAACCGGATTTTGTGCGATGTGTAACTGAAACATGTCAAAAGGAGAAGATATAAGATCGTAACGATCAACGACAGAATAATATGCTTTGCTGTAAGTGGTAGTCATATCTCACAAGCGCTCATCTATTAGTTATCAGTGCATCGCTGATCTTTGTTAAAATCAAACGGTCCAGAAAGAGCGAAACTGATATCGATATCCCACAATAAACAAAACAGCTAAAAATCAAGAGCAGGTCATCCATGTTCGATTGCACCCAAACGTACCAAGAGCACTGGCAGTATCGCCGGGCTGTATTTCTGAACTTCTTTTTTTCGGTGTTTTTTCTTCTTGGTGTTCTTAGTATTGAGTACGTACAAATTTTGTATTGAACTGTTTATGTGGCTTAGAAAAGGAACAACGTGTGTGTGAGTGGATGCTTATGATCATGCCACCGATCAGTTGGTGAGGAAAGGTACGTCACCCATACCATACATGTAGAGTGTAGTCGGATCGCGGATACTGTTTGTGTCGCTCGAACGCCTCCGCCTATAATAAGCAGAATCAATAACTTACAGTTCAGTTATGTACCTCTAAAATAAAAGTTCTTGAACTGCAATTGCTAACAGGGACTTACTACATCGTCATCCCCCAAAGGCAGGATCTGGAGGCGTCGCAGACAGTGCATCTCGACGACTGTGAATCTTGACAAACTGCATCTCGAGCTCCAGTTCGATTTCGCGGATCAGCAGCGAAGAAACAGACGGCTTCGTCCAGTACCCGGTAGGCAAACTGCATGCCATCATGACGAAATTGTCCGATGTTAGGGATACGCGCTGGGGTGGATTTCCCAACGGATCGCGAATCTGTTCGTAGGGAAGCAGTTCGCGACCACAATTTCCGTCCTCCATCAACGCCACTTAACAGAAATCCAGCTCCATGAACGATGAAATCAGCGTTTTCGCGGGATACCATTTCCACAGGAGATCCTTGGCGTCGTGTAGCAGCACCTCGACTTCCACATCGTCGACTCCCGTGCTCGCGCTGCTGGATCAGTCCACAGAGCAGTAGATCTTCCCGTATTCCACCAGCACCGCCGGCTGTGTCGTTTTCCCAAAATTGACGATCAGGCGCGGCGGAGTATTGTCGTTCTCTGGCTTCTCTTCCAGGCCGAAAACGTGGCCGTGCGGTAGCACATGGTCCACCTCCACATCTACTGCGTTCCATGCGTACCGCCGTACACCTATCGTCCACGTTTTTCGTACAAGTCCTGAAAGCGGTTATCGGTCTAGAACTGTCCGGCTTTTGATCCTTGCAGTTGATACGGCTAAAAATCTTAAAAAGTTTTGATCCTTAGGTTAGTTAAAGCTCTGCATGTTACTAGCGCAAGAGTTCGGTGGTTTTATCGCAGCAATTATGCGTGTGAAACGAAGAAATGAACACATGTTATACAAACTGCAGCTTGTATTGTACATCGTACCACGCGTGCAAGTACGGTCAGGTTTCTTTTGCTTTCACGCTTTTTTTTCGTTGCTGTGAAGGCAAGAAATGATTTTTGGATTTGAATAATTTGTATAAATTTGCGTACAAACCGTCGGTGCGCGCGACATCCAGATAGGAAGTTATGGTGAAAAACAATTCCGACAATTACAACGGAAACGTTTATTTTTCAACAGCAACTGCACCCACCACCAAATGGAAACATGTCACCGGACAATTCGTAATTTCGCTGGTTGTTATCAGAATGTTTTCATAAAAGAAAGAACTGAAGTAGGAATTTGCAGAACGCCAAAGACCAGCGATGCCGCAACGTCCACAACCAACACAAAAAATGCGCTACAAGATAGTGACTGCACTGCATGACATCGCTTCTGAAGAAGCTTAATCTGAATAAACTAATCCGAGTCATCCGACCACTCACAGGAGCCTTCAAGGTCACCCAGGTTCATCAGAACGCTCAAGGCAATGCGAGACAGTTGCTCCCAGCGCAGATCCTTCAGTCCATCCGCGCACCACATCTTCCCGCGGTAATGCACAGACGAAACCGGATCCGCGGTCTGGGTCCGCATAACAGCTACCAAACATAATGCGCTTGAATCAATCAGTAATGATTTACGGTTAATTCTTTTCTGGTAACATTCATGAGATTCGCTTACTTTACAAACTGCCATGCGCAGCAGCTCTTGGCTCTCGTCCACCGCGATCGCCGTCAACCACTCCGACAGAGCCCGCATCTCCTCGTCGTTGGGAGCCGGTAGCGCCATCTCCATCGCATTCCACACCGTCAGCGCCAGATCCCCGTTCACTGGCAGACGCGTCTTAACAATACCGAAGTGCAACTGCGGACCAGCGTTCGCAGAACCGTCCCAAGAAGGCAGTAGACCATCCATACAATAGCGCAAAGACAACCGGCAGCGTACCAGATAAATGGCAGTACACGGCAGATCGCGACACGATGCGATGAGGGCATCGAGGAGGCCCGGGAATGACACCCCAGGTGCATTCAGGTCGTCGGGAACGTGCACATCGCAGTAATCATGGTTCATGGAGACATATGACCACAAGTGCGTCGCGCCGACAACAAACAGCGCCGTCAAGCGGATTCCGTGGTCAGTCCGCGCCATGTAGTGAATAATATCAAGCACCATGGAGAAGTTTATCCTGTCGATGCATTGGTCGCGATCGTGCAAAATAGCGTGTTTGATGGACGAGCGCAGGCATTTGAAAAGGGGTGCCATGAGAATATATTGCAGATTATTCGAAGGGCCGCGTGCAGCGCTCGTGTCGATGATTATGTGGGCCGTCAACGTAGGCAAGTCCAGATCAGCGTCCCATGCTGAACACACCGCGCGCAGCTTGGTCTGGGTCATCGTGTCCAAGTGAGCGAACACTTCCAGCCACTCATACACGCCCAGTGAAAGCGATTCATCCGTCGTCTCGCAGATATCCAAAGATTCGGCCGGCGCCTTCATCCCACGCAGGATCTTCGGAACACGACCAACCAGCGCCTTATGAAACGCCCGAGCAATTTTTGTAACAATGAACAGCACCAATTCCACAAACCGGACACTGGAAATGTAGATATCCGACTACAGGAGACAGAGACGAATTAGCGTACCTGTGCCCTGTCTTCGGGCTGCCGCAGCGGAAAACAAACGTCACCGTTCAGCTCCACAATGAAATGCACCTGCTTATCTGCGACTTCGGCGCAGACAACCTCCCCTTTGGAAGACCGCTGTTTAGCCTGCAGCTCCTTGATCTCCTGCAGCACTTGTTCTGCTGACGCCGCACGACACTCGGTGGGCAGCGGCATACTGTGCTTAACAAAGCGCCCCGGTGCAACTGGCAGCAGCTTCGTCACAAAAAGCATCTCTGGTCCCTCATTATCTTCCTTCGACCAGTCGTTTGGCAGGGGTGCGAAGACGGTTCTTGGGGACAAAGTCCGTCCAGGTGGCGCCGCGGTCGTCCCGTCCCTGGACGATAGCCACCGTTGCGTAATCCGGCCTAAACCCCGAGTTTGAATGAGACGACGGATTCAGCACAGTCCCGGGCCACCAGATCCACGCTCCACCGGGATACTGACGGCGCAGCACGTCCATGGGGATCGCCTCCCATGCCTCCTCACTCCAGAAGAAATCGTGTAAAGCGCCCGTGAATTCCTTGAGTTTAGATCGGAAGACATGGCTGAATGGAAAGAGCTCGCGTCGACGACCGGAGCCCAGCAAATCGATGTAGAGCCCGTTGTTCGCCACGTCCACCACGCGGCCGTGCAGCAGGACGTTACCGTCGCCCACTACGTTGATGT